GTAACTTATCAGACACTTTTCACTAGCAATTATCATTGCGTTATTATTCACTTTTTATAGTGATATCAATATTATCCGTACGATCGGAAATTGCTCGCTTCCGGCACCCCACTGGTAACTTTGTTGTCCTTTGGGGATTAAAAAATATTCTTCCAACTATTTCTTTTCTATCATTTATTAAACTCTATTGGCAAGCACACTAATTTTTTTTTTCTCGATTATTTATACGATCGTATTTCTGTTTCCATTATTTCTATACCTTTATTGCATGTCAAAAAAATATTATTTATAGACAACAATCATTTATTTTTCCTCTTGAAAATTCAATCGACGCCGGGCGACGCCGCAGTTCTTTCGCCCACCGCGACGTACGGCCGACATTTTGTCCATCGTCGCTTTCACCGGCGTTTTTATTTTATTATTTCTTTTTTTCTGATGCATTTCATTCTAGTTTTCTATTAAAATATTTTTTTCATTATCATTGCACTAATAAATCACTTTCGAATTTATAAAAGAATTTTTTTTTCTAATTTTGATTCAATTTATCACAATGACATTGCAGCTGCGGGAAATCCGCGTCTGCGCGTCTAATAATCGCGGTAACGTTTTGCTGTGGACAAGATCTCATTCTACTAAATTATACACAAGAGCATAACTACTAATTTACTTAGTTAATTAAATGTATTCAGTAATTTATTTTACAATCAAAATTGTCATTCATAAGAAAAAAATTTATTCTTCATAAAATTATTTTAATCAGTAGTTTTACTACTTGTTTATGTGCTAATTATGCGTGTTATGATTGTTGAAGACTGCAATACACAAGATAGTCTAATAAAAAAAATATTAGCTATGATTGATTGAATGTTTCAGCCATCATTAGAGTATCTTATGCATAAATTATTGAAGTTTGAAGTTGTGAATACGGCACATGAACGTTAGTATATTTTTTTTCCTTAACAAAAGAAGCGCGATTATAATATATTGACAATTGTGTATGTATAAATATAAACAACAAGAATAAAAAAAAGAAGAAAAATGATCATAAAAAAACATAAAGACAATGAAAAAATATCATAAAAAATGGTGAAGACAAAAAATGACGAATATGTTGGAGAACAATAAAAGTCTCTATAAAAGCAAAATTATATAACAATAAAAGTTGTATAACATTTATAGTGATAGTTATCTTGTGAGACGAGGTAGTGCAAAGGATTTAAACATTCCGTATGTTCTTGTTATGTTGTTGAATTTTAAAAAGGCAGAAGAAAATTATTCGTGTCAAACAATATGAAATCGAATCAAAAATCTTTCTTTCTTTTTATCATTTTTATTGATATTTTTTCTTTAAATTTTTATTGAAATTCGAAGATGGTTCAAAGAACTGCAAGATTTTCGATTCGATTCTTTGATGCGTGGATCACATTTATACGTGCCATATTATATATTTTTTCGTAAATATCATGAGCATTGATGTAAACGCATAAAGGATATCAATAAATAATACTAATAACTTTATTTCATCACTGGGAAAAATAAATGTGATAAAAAAAATAGTTGATTAATAATTGATAGCATGAAAAGTATTGTAAATTAATTTTTCAATTAAATTAAAATTAAAATTAAACTGTGTTTTGTCATCACTAAAATTTTGGAAACGCGTTTCTGTCAATAAGATTGTTATATTTCCCGAAAAAAAAATTTTTTGTAGCTAAAAAAAATTTTGTTTTGTGTGTTTACTTATGAATATAGAAGAACGAAATAAATAAAAATAAAATGAATAATAAAAAAAAAATTTATTCATGTGTATACCAAAGTTTTTTCAGATTTTTTGTTTTTTTTTTCATTGATGTAATGTTGAATTTATCTAATATTATTTACGTTCTTTCGAAAAGTGTCTTGAAGTGTTCTGGGTGTCGATGAGTGTACCTGCTTGGTCCTTCGTCGCTTTGGTCGAGCGCGTGCATGGATGGCCAATAATTTTTTGATTTTGTCCTAGAGGCGAGACGAATTTTTGTTGTGGTTGTAGTTGATATTGATGACAAAGATGACGATGAAGAAGATGGCATTGCGTAAGATATACATATTTTTTTTTTCAATAACATTAAACTAGGAGAGATGAGAGTGACGGTAGGGAAGTATACGAGCATGAAATCCTTCTTGAGAGGATTATTTCTAAGATTTTTTTAAAATTAAATATATTTATATATATGTATATTTATCAATATGTATATATATAAGAAAATAAAAATTCCTACACATTCAAAGCAATTCATTCCACGCAGTTTCGATAGCATTTTAGTCAGTATATTTCATTTTTTTGATGATTTTTTGAAATCAATTTCTAAATAAATCGTTGGTTTATTGAATTTTTGCTAATATATTCAAGTTTCTTTTTTCTAAATTTTTTGCATTAGGAAATGAAACAGAAATAATTGAATTATAAATCATCACTTTGAGCTAATTAAAAGGATAAATAATAAGCAAAATGTCACGATTTAAAGCTACAATTTTAATTTGGTTTTAATTATTAGACACTCTTTGCTGCATATTTCATATTGTCACAATGAAAAACAATAAAAAAAAACTTACTACGAAAATTGAAATTTGTTTCATAAAAATAATAATGTGGATAAATAAATAACAATTGATTCCATTTTATACGAATTAATGCTCTCATGACTTCTTTTCGATTGAAAAGAGTAATAAATAAATTTAATTAAAGAAGATTAAGTCGAGGAAAATAATAATAAAACGATCTCTAAAGTAAAACTATTGTGTTTCGATTGATCCCTAAAGAGCAACTATGATAGTAGGATCTGAATACTTGATCCTCTTACGACAAGTAAAGTTTGCCCTTTCGCGTGTTACGAGCGTGACTCATGATAGTCACGTTCATCTATTAAAACAAATGGACAAGATTTCCTTTGGGTACACGTTGAAAACCAATTAATTAATTGTATACAATCAAATGCGTTGAATTAACTGTCACCACTTTAGTGAAATACTGTTTCAGAGGAAACAACCCTCAAAAAAAGTGTGATTACTTGACAACACGCGTAGCAGCAAAGAGAATCAAGGATAATAGTGGACTTGATTGAAGAAAGCAAGAGGATAAACTAAAATAGCAAATTAGAAAAAGATAAGAAGAAGAATCAAAAGTGGAGGTATAAGTGAATAAGATTGCATTTAAAATAGGATGTAAAGCAAAAAATAATGGAGATGATTGATGACGATAATTAGGAATTAGAAGGGGAGAGAATATTTTATAGAGAATGATTATAATAATGACCACAAGATGGTTTACGTGATAAGAGATAGTAAAAGGTGATAATATAGCACACACACAATAGTGAGTATATATATATGTAAAATTGACTTCCGAACTCTCTTCTCTCTCTTTTTTTTCAAATAGAAAAAAAATTCAATATTTTCTTGAATATGGTCTCTATTTATAGGCACACAGAGAAACTTCCACCTAGATCCTAGGATCTATAACGAGCACATACATATAGTAATGCAATGAGTTGTGAAAAGACAGTGAGATGATTTTAATAAAATTACAATGATGGTAATTAATAATCATAATATTAGTGTATAATAAGAATGATAAATAATTAAAACGATGTGCGGAATTAAATAATTAAATAATCAATAACATAAAATTGACGACGTTAAATATTGATTAAAAAAAAACAGTTTTTGCAGCTCTTAAATATATTTAACTTTCTTTGAACGATGAACGATTTATTATAAAAAATTATTTGTTCAATGTTGCTTACTAAAAATGATCTTAGTAGTAAATATTGAATGTAAATAAATTGCTTCTGAATGGGCAAATTGAAAACACGGTTTATTTATATTTAAATGGAATTTCGATATGAAAGGAATAAAAAAGAAATATAAAAGCTGCAACTACTGTTAGATACGAATATTTCAGTAAATTTATAAGAGAAAAAAAGTTTGAGGGTTGGGGCTAACTTTCAAGCACACATATTGCTGCTAAAATGAACGTGCGAAAGTGCTCATGAGGCTTGTATGTGAATCAAAAGAAATATGTACATATATACTGATGATATATAAAATAATAGGTGATTGCATGAATTGTGAGAAAGTAAAACTAGAAAAGAAAAATTTGAAACTAATCATCATTAAAAACCTATTAAACTACAAACTGATAAGCAGGTCAATATATGGCTTGTGAACTAGGAAAATTGTCTTGATAAGAACTATTTAAAAGTGTTTAATACTTAAAGTGATAATATGTGAAAATACTGGTGATAAAAAATTAAAAAGAAACTTACAAGTGTAAAGTTGAGATAAAAAAATATTATGTACGATAATAAATTTTGTTAGAGAAAAAATAATAATGACATTTAATCAATAAATATTATTATTCTCAATGACTTTAAAAATTTAAATTTCAATATAAAATGTTTTATTTTATAAAACAATAATCTGCTTGAGAAACGAAATATTTTATACAGTGCATGAATTTATTGATTTTTTTCACATTATTTTTTCTTTGATAATTTTAAATATAAAAATATTAAATAGATAGTTCTAAAATTTTGTATCTTAAAAATAGAAATATCGAATAACTTGTGCCTTTTTTTTTATCTTTGAGTGTTTACCTCTTGAACTTATATGGACTGACATCAAGATATTTCTAGACACTCAATGCAAAAATTCTTTCTTATTCATAAAAAAAATAAACAAAATGTGTTTAGAAATATTCATAAAAACACAGTGATTCTTATTTTAGTGAAATTGACCGATTAATGATAATGAAAAAGTGAGATGAAGCGAATGCATAGCGTAACAAAATCAACTACTTGCAAGCTTCCTAAGTACAACATATAAACCGATGTATACAAGACGAAAAATATATTATCTACGCGACGCGATTTTTTTTTCTTTAATTATTTAATTAATAAAAAAAAAAAAAACACGACTGGGTAATTTTGAATTAATAGTAGTAGGATAGAATGTATAAGGACCTGCTTCTGGGCCATGGACTGCATCTGCTGGAACATGATCCTCTCCTCCTCTTTTCCTGAAACAGGATAAAGCATCGAGAAGATCGCGAGATTGTTCGCAAATCCTTTTTTAATTTAACAGAAAAATTATTCTTGGAATAGTTTCAAACAAATAATAATTTTTATTTTATTCTTAGAAAAATTTTTATGCAGGAGAAATAATTTCAAGAGTTTTTAAATGAAAAAATAATTTTCGTGAAATAAAAAAGCTTTTATAGAAATAAAATTACAAGAAAAAATGATCTTTACAGATGTTATATATCGAAATGTAATAAAAAAAGAAAAAGATGAATTTTGTGTACACAAAATGATGAAGATACATTTTATAAGAACGAAAATGTGATATTAAATATCGTAGATGTGTGTGGAAATGATTTTTTCTTATGTAAATACGAAGAGAACAAATTCAAAATCTGATGGATTGACTTCAGTAATCCGTAATATTGAAGTGTAAAATCGTCGTCTGAGATTGCGAATAAAAGAAGATAGAAAGTACTATGAATATTTGAGTACTTCTTTTATATTTGATTGATGTAAAGTTGAAAAAAAAGTAAGTCGGTAAAAAAAAAGAAGTATGCAACTTAGAATAACGTGCTTGACATTTTTTCTCAGTTGCTATGATCGTGTTTCTCTCTTGAGAGCCAGTCAGATATTCTTCTTTTCTTTCGCATTTACCGTGGATCTTTTTTACATATTTCTGCCGTCATTTCCACGCTCGAGAATTTTCATCTTTCATTTATATAAAGGAGAAAAGGAGTTGAAGAATTTTCAACTTATGTATCGCATACATTATAAATCCTTCACGAATTCTTATTGTACCCAATATTTATCACTTGACAGTCTACTTATTTCCCAAGTTTCTTTTATATTATTGCAGATAAAAACCACTCCAAGTTATTGACAATAAATAACATTTTAATCGGTTTTACACAAAAGTAGATAGACTAAAAGTTATTTTAGTTAAGGAAAAAATAGTTATTTCACTCATTAGAAAATGGTTTGAATTTTTTATATTGGAAAATAAAGAGCACAATGCTATTATTCATAGTATTTTTTACATTCGGAAGAACTCATATAAATTAAATTTTTTTTAAAAAAGAATGTCAGACTCTTTAATAAAAAAAAACAATGAGTAAAATACTTCTGCCAGTAATGCATTATTATGCAGTGTTTTATCAAATATTTTTCAAGATAATTAATTTTTTGTTTTATTAAACTATTAAAAAATATTTGATTAATTATAGGATGATGATGAAAACTAGCAATTCAAGAATAATTTGAAAATTTAATTATTAATAAATAATATTCATTGTCTCACCCATCCCCTTATTTTGGAGCATCTCCAGAAGCTTTTTAATGCTCTCATCACGAGCTTGTAGCGTTTGCTTCTGGGTTTCTATTCTCAGTTCGAGCTCCTGAAACAGAAAAAAAAATATATTGACACACGTGTTATAACATAATATACAGAAATATTTAATAGTGATGAAAAAGATTGATAGGAAAAATAAATTTATAATTGATGATGTCAGATAAAAGACACATGCGATGAAAATAGCGAGATCATGAAGACAGAAATATGCATCAATAAACTTTGTGATATGTTTTTATGGTCTTAAAAGCAATGTAACTGACACTATTTATTTTTCGTCAACAATATTTTACAAAATTTTCCACTTTATATTAGTTTGAAATATTGACTTAATTGATTAATAGTCCCTTTCATGAAGATTCAAAAATATTGTAATAAACTAACTTGATTACATATTTTATACTTTTGTGAAGTAATAAAATGAATTTAGTAATGTGTGACCATTTTTGTACAATATTAATGTTTCAGTGGTAAATATTGAAGAATTTAGCTTGTTAATGGACTAGTTTAAGTTGATCAACTGATTAAATATTAATTAAATAAACAATGATTACAAGATATTACGATTGTATTGATATTTATTTATTGTTAAATATGTCGTAGGATTTCTATAATTTTGTTGGCATAATGATGAAGTAACTAATGACGTATTGTTTATCAATTTATGTAATTATGGAAAATACCATCAAAAAGATTAACGAAACTAGAGCAAAATAGGATATTGATTAATTTTACGAAGACACTAATAAAAGAATTTATTTCATAACATAATGAATTTAATCAATTAGGATATATATATATAATATCAATCCTAATTATATAACATAATAAAATGTGTTTGTAAATGAATTTATATTAAAATCCAAATAAAAAATTAATCCTAAATTATATTCTTTTTTCAGTGTTTTCGTAGTAAATCTTGACACAAAAATTATTTTGAATAAATTAGATTAAATAAATATATTCGACATTTATTTGAAATAAAAGATGGGGTATTTACAATAACTTAGGCATATCAAGTTATAATGAATAATTTTTTTTATGGGATTTATTAAAAAAGTTGTGTTTTATATTTGGCTTAAAAGGGATTTACGATATTTAAGTTGATTAATTTTTATGAGGGAAATACTTTACTTTACATTTATGATCTTAAAAATATAAAAGTCAAGAATGCATTGCGTATAATTTTCACACACCATCAACACACAGATTATGTGCAGCTAAGTATGTATTCATTTTTAAACAAGTGTACAATCCAAAGAAAAAGTAGTGATGGCTGATTTGCCAAGAATTTTGCACATACCCCATCTTGCCTCAGTACCCCATTTAGCCTTGGGCTTTCCTGATAGTAAAAAAATCAATAAAAATGAATAAGTTAAGTGTAAAAGTATAGAAATAAACACTGACACCAAAAATTAATTATTTATTTATCTCTAATAAATCTGTAAATGTTTTAAGATTTTATTTGCTTCACCACACATATACATATAACTATATCAACACCTTATGTAATCAGTTTACGACGCTTCTTTGATGACGGAAATGCAATTAAGTTAGAAATAGAGTCTCTACAGGGAACATCATCTTTAGAAGAGAAAAAGTTGATACTCAACATTTTAAGTGACTTCTATCAATTAATTTGGATTAGCTAAAATTCAATTTGCTTCATGCTAAAAGTTAAAAACAATTAAACATACTATTTTCAATATTCAATTTTTAAATAACAATAATTACATTTTTCAATAAAAAAAACAGAAGGAAAGAATATGAGATTACATTTTAATAAGAGTATTTAACAAAATTTTATACAACATTTTGTAAAAAAAGAAATCCAATTAACGGGATAAGATGATTTTTATTTTAATTTAATTTTTCTTTTTATATACGAACAGATCATTATTGAGATTTTTAATAATAAATTGAAAATTGAAATTTATCAGGGCTTTTGAAATTTAATAAGATATGTAATAAAACCTTTATTGAATTTTATGTAACAAGTACAGAATAGATAAGTATTTCTTGAACAATATGAGATAAATTTTTTCTCAAGTGATTGACATAAATTTAAAGTATAGAGCAATAGAGTAATCTAGTCGCGTTAACAAAAAATAGTGATCAAAGAGTTTGCTGGTAGAACATGAAAAAAGTTAAAACGTGACTTGGAATCCATAGGATGAAACGTGATAGAGAGCAGGTCGCTGGGCTTTCAATTTACGTCGAATTCGGAACGAGTTTAAGGGGTTTTGCGAGTGATGTTGAGACTTTACGAAATGGAGAAAAGGGATGGAGAATATAGGGATGAGGTCAGGGGGTGGTGGTTAAGGTACAGGGTGAGTAATCTAGAGATACGATAATGAGCAGTGAAACGAGAAAGCGTCTGCATAATCTGGCGCGTAGCCAAAGGCGACCAGTTGCTTCCTGTACGTCACTTTAAGTTGACCGAACCACGACAAAGAATTGAACGGGCAATGATTTCATTTTCTTCCGCTTTTTGTTCATCTTCTAGACATCAAAATGCCGGAAGAGTTACTTCTCGTGGGTCACGTTCAGTTAGTAACTTAACATAAACGAGAACACTAAAAACAAAGAGAATCACAAAAACAAAAATACGTGCGATAAACAAGCTTAGATTTTATGCCAGACATTTGTCCTGCCTTTTTTAGCTTCTTATAGACACTCTTCATTTATGTGCTCAGGTCGACTACATGACTACATCAGTTTTCATGCCAGAATATTATACTATCGTTTGGTGCAATGAACTTTGTGATTTATGAATGGTTTAAGAATATTTTAATTCAAAAAAAATTCTATTTCATCCGTTTTGTCGTAAATCAATTTCTTTAGTAAGAATGAGAAAACATCAAAATAATATACATAGAAAATTGAATTAAAAAAATAATCATTGTTAAAAAATATCATTATTTTATTAAATAAATTTTTAACTACTCTACTGAATTTTAAAATGAGAATAATAAAGTAAAAACACTATATTCATTTGAGTGTAGAATACAAAAAATGGTGATAAAACTGAAAAAGACCAGAATGAATTTATGAAACTGAAAATAAACGTGTACTATATATTTCTAGAAAATGTTTAAGTTTCATATTTTATTATTATTATTATTAAAAATAAGAAGGCGATAACCCCTTAAATCTTAAGAATAAAAAAACTTGAATCAAGTACTTTCAACTATTGATTAGAATAATTTAAGTATTTTTTGTGGTGTGAGTTAAAATGCTAGGATGTATAGAAACCCAGTGCATTAAAGCAGTTCTTATGTACTTTACGAGTGAGACTTTTATAATCCAGGATAGCTTGAGGCCGTAGCCTCGTTACCGAATTCTCGTCTGACCTAAAACGTTTTTACTACTGGGAAACAAACACTTTTTTCTATTTTTTTCTTCATTTAAGGGTCTTTTTTTTAATTTTACAAAAATTTCCTCTCACTATTATTATTACTACTATTATTATTAAGAGGATAATAATTAATGCCATTATTATTTATAATAATACTTCAAGTAAAGTGTGAAAATGAAGTGAATAAATGACCTATCAAAGACCATTAGAGTCTGCATATTTAATTATAGTAAATATTTTGTAGGACCCTTATAGCATCGTGGTGAAGAGATCGTTCTAATTTAACATATAAAAGATATGTGGGTTAAATAAATTTACCTTTATAGTGTCCCGGAGTATTGCTATTTCTCGTGTGAGATGTTCATTCTCGTTGTATAGAACTTCCATCTGCTGCTGCATCTCCACACTTGGCCCCCGCATCCTCAGTCTCAATTCCTCCTCCAGTTGTCGTACCATCATGCTCTGTTTCTGTAATCATAACCAAGAGAAATAATTTTATGTTGGCTCTTGTCCAGAATAGTACTGACGTTATCTTCATGGCAAGAATATCGGTTAAACAATAATATTCAATACAATAAATTTATTCGTTGCAGTTTAGTTTTAAATTCTGAGTTGAAATATTATCATTATTTTCGCATTATTATTTTATAAAATAAATTCCTTTTAATTAATGAAGATAAAATGATAATTTTAATCTTTTTTTTTCAATAATTTTTAGCTGTGGGGCTTGAAATGACATTTATTTAATTTACAAGTATTCTAAATCACTGTTTTATGCTGGAAAAAAAATTTTTGTTAATCTATTTTCAAGTCTTTTTTATTTGCAATGCACTTTAGTTGATGAGTATGACAAATGTTGTTTTAATCTAAAAAAATCCCCATGTGATTTTTTAAGTGATAAATCAGTAATAGAAACAATTCCCACGTTAAAATAAACACGAATGTAGCCAAAATAAATATTAGATTAACTTTACTCTCCATTTACACTCGTCCGACTCTTAATGATCAATTGGAATCAAAGTAAATCAATTAAAATTATGGTTAAGTTTAATTTAGTCAACTTTTAATTCTCAGGACATATCATTTGAACATTTAATTTTATCAGCTTTTTTTCTTGAGTTTAATATTAAAAAAATTCTCATTAAAATTTAAATATTAATTCTAACCAGTGATACAGGCGTAATTAGTATTAAAAGTGAAGATTAAAATCTTAACAAATGTCTGACACTAAATAACTCGGCAATTGTAGAAGACCGGTGTTCGCATGCAATATCACCACGTTGGGTGCATGATTGTGTGAGTGCATGCGGGTATAATATATGTGTGTGAATTGTTGATAGTGAGCGTCAATCGTGCATCTACACGATATGAACATCAGGATTGTGAGTGAAAGCTCGTACTATAGACTCGCAAACACCGAGAATGTCGAGAGAATATGGTGGGAATTTCCCATTGGGAATAATGCGAATCTGTTTATAATCGTCGTGTTTCAACGATACTTTATCTAGGGTTTAGTCGTATTACAGGTACTTATAATTTCATCCACGATAATGTTCCAATATACGCTTATCCTGGTTTTGTCCCATCAAATTTATTTATCCCCGAAACAATAAGCTGCATTCAAATTTATTATGAAAATTAAATTGGAGTAAATTGTCTATTGTTGACTTAATCTCTTAGGAAAACTTCTCCAAAGGATAAAATGTTATAATTTCCACTCGGTTTTTTTGATTGAACAGTTAATGTTTTACAAAGAGAATAATTTTAGATCTTAACCAGACCATAATTGTTTGTTAATGAGAGAAAAATATATTGAAATATATATTCAAAGCTCAAAGGAACTTTTTTTTTTATGGAGAACATTGCTTTTAGAAGCGAGAAATTTTTTTCGGTAGCTTTAACATAAAAAATTTGTATCTATAACATGCATAAACGAATAGTACCATTTAATTAATTTTAAAATTCAGCTGGTTTAACGTTTTTTTCAGTTACTTCACTTAGTGAAAAATTCTTGAAACAAAAATCTATTTCTGAAACTATTTCCTTTGACTGATAAAACGATATTCTTAGTTTCTTCAGTATTTTTATTACAATTGCACTGTAAATTCCAGGATTTCATAAACGTGTTAAAAGCACACACATAAAGTTTAATGTAAAATGTCCATAAGCAAACTATACATGGTTTGTAGACACTTTTTACACATTTCATAGTGTGTTAAAATCTATAGTTCGTTTATGGTATTCAACATTGAAGAGGCTTAGCGTGTTAAAAGTGTTAACAGATCGAATATCTGTTGTTGCCTCAGCAAAATTTTTTTTTTCGAGTTGCATTAATAATTAATAATCCCTGAAAGCATCGAATAAAAATTTATCTATAATCTGGCTTAATGTTAAAACAACGTGCCAATATTTTTTCACTGAAAAAACAATGTGCCTAACATAAATCAAGGACTTCACTGAAAAATTAAATTATTCTTGATTCAGAAATACCGTTTTTCAATATTCATGCATGAAAAATGCAATAAAATTTTTGTAGATTTTAAACATAGATATAAAAAAAGGTTTCTTTCAATTTATTTATTAAATGTGTGAGAAGTTTATTAAAAAAAATTACATCTCTTTCACGAAAGTATCAAAAATCAGGACAGAAAAAAGATAAAATATGCTATTTTTTATCTCAGTTAGTTGAGATAGATCACCATCTCGTAGACAGAATAGATAAATTTATCAAAAGAATTCTCTATTATTTTCTGTTAGAAAACAATTTCTTTTACCATTGAATATTTATTTAATATTTTTATTCAACCAACACAGCGATTAAGATCTAATAATGATGAATATTTAATTTTTAACGAAATTGAAGATTCAGAAATTGTCGGTTGTCAGAAATTCAGAGATTCAAATAAATAATTGAATTGAAGTAGATTTAGATGAAATAATACTCATATCGTTTATTAAAGCATTCCTGTCTAGACAAAAGTAAAAAACATCTTTATTAAAGGTGTAAGTTTCGGAGAACAAACAATTATTCGCAACGTAGGTCCCAGAAATAAACAAGTACAATGGTATTCGACGAAACCTCTAATTAATTTGGTGCATTCTAGCATGTTTAATCACTTTTTTTTTTATATTCAGCAGCTAATTGCTTTGTAGACCAATAAATTGAAATCCAATTAGACAGTAAACTTCACGTTGGTAATTATTTCAGAAATTTCGGGTCTTAATTTATATTACAAAATTCTCAAATAACCACCATCAATAACATTTACTCGACAAATCGATATTGTAGAGTTCACATCAAAGTTTTACTCACAAATACAATTTAATATTGTTTTGTTTTAAACAATTACGTCCACTTAATAATATATATATATATATATTATTGCTGAAAAAAAATTAAATTATAAATTTATCAGTTCTTTAAACTTTATTTACTGATAAAGGAAAAGTTGTTAAAATTTTAAAACTTTTTTTTCCATCAGAAAAATTTTAATCTATTAAATTTCCACTAGAGGAAGTTTAAAATTTCGCCACTGAATTCAAAGACACTTTTCAAGAGAATGTAGTATGAGAAAAAACTCGTTAAGTGTCGATGGATACAACCAAGTGATTAATAATTAAAAACAAAAAAAAAAGAAACTTGAAATTCAATCCAATAATTAGTTTCTGTGACCCTCAAAAGTAATTTGTATGAAGTATGTAATAAGTAGAGAATGATTGATGTCTCCACAACTAGATGTAATAAATGTTTTCTAGAGTAACCACAATGTAATTCAGGAACATTTCTCGGTCGTTGGATACAATAGTTAGGTCATCTATAGTCGCGGAGTATGCGTTTGTAAAAATTAGTTGGAAATGGCTATCAAGGGAGAGTGACAGACAGTTAAAGGGTTGAAATGGTTGATGTTGAATAGTCAGAGCGCAGCGATTGACCCGATTATTCTTGCACATCCACTGGCGCGTGACGTCACGCAAAGTTGGGGCCACACCCCGTAGCTTGTGACGTCATTACTTCTACATGATAAGAGTAGTCTAGTTGAAACATTGAATATGTTAAAACTGACTTATTTTTCACTAACAATTATCTTAAAAGATAAATGTACCTTTTGTTCTAGCAGATGATCTTGAATAATAGACTCGTTGATTTGACGTGGTACCCACTGTTTCCAACATTTGCTACTCTCATACTAAATCTAGTCTGATTGTAGAATAAACGGAAGAGGTTTTTTGTTTAATTCTTAGACAAAAAATTAATGTTTTGTGAAGTAAGTAATTGAAAATGTCCTTTATATTTTTAAAAATAACTATAAAAAATTTTCCAATAATCAATAATATTTGACTTTTCTAATTTTCTATTCTCATAGAGTTATTTTAAGAATCTGCTCCAATTTTTTCATCGAGATGTGCTCGAATGTGTGATATCTATTCGATCGTTGATAAAATAATTGATTGAAAAAAAATATATAAAAATTGTGTGGAGTTGGAAATTAAAATTTATGGTTGTTTTCAAGTGGAATTTTTATTTGTTTTTTGTTCTTTAAAAGTTTTTATTAAACTATTAATTGAATTACAAATATAACAAGTATAAAATAAAAAAAAAAGTAAAGTTATAAATTATTCCATAGATCGATTACTAACCCGATGATCCCAATAAAAAGTTGAAAAATTGTGATGGATAAAATAACATAAAACAACATAATCTGGTTTGAGGGACGTTGAGACGGTTAAGATTACGTCGATACATATCTGTCATGGCAGTTACGAAACGCTTAGACTCCCTGGAGGCATTAACCCTTCAGAGATTGCATTAGGTTTTGCCTCTGTTTCAGAATGTTGTTACATTATTTCTCTAGACGATCATAAACATGAAATCGATATTCTATATTTGTTTTTTAAATTAAGTCCTTCAATTTGATTAAAACAAAATACTCTTAAAAAACTTTCAACCATCAGCTCTCTTATTATTAATTAAAATAATTTTCAAATGATTAAAAATAAAAAGTGAGGAGGGAAAAAGGTCTATCAGTTGAGAAGCCTTTCTTAAGATCCTATTAACTATATTTACAAGTACTCAAGTCTTTGTCTTTAAATATAAGAAAAATTTCCAGCATGTAAATAGACTTGTGACTCGATTTTTACGTAAGTTACATGATATTATAAAAACCAGAAAAGCTTGTGGTGGTGTTCAAAGCTTTTAGGGAAAACTTAGTAGAGAAAACATGGAAACCGAAACCAAAAGAGTCGTTGAAGAGTGTTTTAAGTTGAAGGGAAAGAGAGTCTAAGGTCTATTCATTCTCATATGAAGAAAAAAGAGTCTGGTTGCGAGGTCATTGTACTTCAAGAGGATCGATGCTCTTCCGGACCTCACAACCCAACCACCAACATTTGCAATACCGACGAACATGTTAAGAAAACATGGAAAAGCTCTGATATGGGTTTAGTAGTATGTAAAAAAAAACATGAGAGGA